GATAACAGGTCGGGGCACCCACCACGCAATAAACCTCTTTTTGTTATTAACGCCACCCCCCTCTTCCCTGTGACGTGAGAATCCCATATGGCGTCCTTTGTTTACCTTACGGCGGTGAGGGCGCTGGCCGCATCAGCTGGTGTCCTAATGTTGATGTATCTACGGTAGCAGGCCGGCTCCAGGCGCCTGGCCTCCGTGTCTTTTCCAATCGTGGCCACTGACAATGTGGTGAAAGGGAGATTATTAAATGAGTAAAAGTGGGGGGGTGGGGGGGGGGGAAGAAAGGGGGTTCAGGCAAAACATGTCGTCTAAAGGCAGAGATTGCATGAGGGTGAGGGAGAATCTTCCAAACCAGTGGCGTGGCCACTCAAGGGATGACGCCAAATTGAAATAATTACATTTTTTGGACACCATGAGTTTACCGCACAGGGTGACACGAACCCTAGGTACGCCACTGAGCCAAACCATGTGGTTTAAAGGTAGATATTTCATTAAAGAGGGAACTATTACATTGGTTTGTGGGATGGCGTGTGATGCAAGGTATTAATAATTTGAATGGATTCAAATTTAAAGCAGGGTAGTGTTGTAAAAAGCGGTTACCCCCCCCCCCCTCCCCTCTCCCCTCACCCCACCCGCCACGTTACGTTCTTCCAACCTTTGAACATTTGCAGACACAGTTCTCCCACGTCCAGCAACGGCCTATATGGTACCGTAGCCTCCTTACATCGTTTGCTTCCAAGTACACTTACATACTGCTTTACGTGACTCTGGTCTTTTCTTCCCCATCATGTGCACATTCAAAACACCTGTAGAGCCTCGCGTCTCGTGCCTTATCCCCCATACAACACCTAACCATGTCCACCCCTCCACGTTACCCGAATGGTCGCAGATTGCGGTCACTGTGCACCTCAGCTCGGCCGCCTCACACCTCAGCGCCTCGCTTTGCTTGTCGACGCCGGCTAGGAGCCTCTTCATCTCATCCGTCTCCAGCCTCAGTTGTTCGAGATACCTCTGCAGCCTGGCAACCTTGTCTGTTCTCTCTCTGCAATATGAAAGGAATCAGCGGTGGAACTAACTTTAGAATTCTTCGTCCATCTTTGAAATCCTTTATATTAACTTCGCTTTTTTTTTTTTTGTTCGAGGCCTGCAAAAATCTTCAGAGGGCTAACTGACCCACTTCCCGTCAACCTATCGAGCTGAAACCTGGCAAATCGACTCGTGGCCGATGACGACAAACTCTATCACATTTCCAGCACCACTCCGCAACTCAGAAACTCAGAAATCCCCAATTTCAAAGGAAATATACCATGACACTGATTTCACGAAATAAATTCCCGATAACTGCGCTCAAGGACATCCTTAAAAACACAATATCGCAAGTGCGTTTGGTGCGTCATATTTTCTTTTCCTTTTTTGGTGAAACAGATGGTGAAATAAATCAGCGGTGTGAAAGCGGATGGGTCGTCAGAACATTAATAGAGTTTTTGGTGGGTTTTTTTTTTTTTTGGTGGGGTGGGGGGGCGTGAAAAAATGTGTTGTTGTGGGCCTTTGGGGGGCGGGGAACAGCACTAATTGGGATTCGTGTAAAGTGCTTTCCTTGTATGCATCTTTTTTTCCGTTGTCAGCCCCACCCCAAATGTTTTGGAAGTGCATTTTATGAAGGATTGAACGAATTTTTTTTTTTTTTTTAATTTTTTTTTTTTTTTTTTTTTTTTTTTTTTTTTATTTTTTTTTTTTTTT